TAACATCAGTGGAGTGGCCTATGTGTACAGTAAGTGAATTCACTGTGCACTGACCTCTGTGTACGCTTGCTATACTGTACTTTATATGATACATGTTTATTCACCACGCTATATGCACCACAAAATAAATTAAACTCGTTTATGTATGTTCACGTTGATGTAATCTAATTTGGGTTTGGTTTGTTAGTTGCTAACGCATGCATTACAAAGCTCCAGGGTAAAATCAGTTTAGTAGAAGTTCCTATACATTCACCAGCCACTTCATTAGGTACAACTGCTTTAATGCTCATTTATGCAAAAATCAGCCAATCACATGGCAGCTACACAATGCATTTAAGCTCATGGTCGGGATAACCTGCTAAAGTTCAAACCACGCATCAGAACGAGGAAGAAAAGTGATTTAAGTGACTCTGAACATGACATGGTTGTTGGTGACAGACGGGCTGGACTGAGTATTTCAGAAACTGCTGATCAGCTGGGATTTTCCTCCACAGACATCTCTAACATTCACAGAGAGTCATCTGACTAAGAGGGAACATCCAGGGAGCGGCGGTCCTATGGAATAAAATGCCTTGTTGCTGCCAGAGGTCAGAGAAGAACTGCTACAAACTGATAAGAAGGCAACAACTACTCAAATATCCGCTCACCACAACCAAGGTTTGCAGAAGAGCATCTCTGAACCCAGCACAGCAAACCTTGAAGCAGATGTGCTACAGCAGCTGAAGACCACACTGGCAGCAACCTCTATCGACTTAGAACAGATAATGCCTGATTTTATGAATCTTGATTTCTTCTACAACATTCACATCACAATCACAATTTTGTGTAAACAACATGAAAGCACGGATACTTCCATCCTTGTTTTAAAAGTGCAGGCTGGTGGTGTAATGGTGTTGGGGAGATTTTCTTGGCACACTTTGAGCTCCTTTGTACTACATGACTGTTGTTTAAAGGCCAACAACATATTCTTGACCTGAGTATCCAGTGTACAACACATCGGGTCATGAAGCTCAAATCATCTCAAACTTGTTGAAAGCATGCAACAAAAAACTATAAAGCAGTATTGATGTAACTGATGAAGTCGCCAGTGCACGTGTGTCTTCCATGTACCACAATCACAGTAAATGTCATACGAGTATGTCAGTGCTCCAACTATCCACAACACAAACTGCCCCAGCTCACAACATCTGTGCAGTCAATACATCACTATCAACACATCCTTAATTTCTAAAGTGAATCTAAAGTGTATACAATGTGTATACAATGACAAATATGCCAATAATGATCACTAACTCCTTTTTTTGTTTTTTTTGGGGGGTTTTTTCTTTGCTTTACAGTCTCATTTGGGTTATTGTTTAGCTTTCACGGTGCAAGTAGTATATAATTTAGTAACTTCAGCATTAACTTGTAAAATAGCAAAACCCTGAAATTGAAGCAGTAAAATAAAATTTAGCCATCATTCATTTTATGAAGTATCAGAGGTTTTACTAAATTCAACAAACTCCTTCAAACATGATGATGCCATGGTGTCTTTGTCTCAGACTGGAGTTTGCTGTTCCAGTGAAGCTCTGGTGTGCAGTCAAAACTGCTACACACATTCACTACTGGGAGTTTGCCAGTACAAGCACAGTCTCTGCTGCTGGCTACAGGAGCAGTTGGGGGGGGTGGGGGTTACTTTGCTCAAGGGCACCTTGAACTGATCCTGTTGGGGTGCCAAACAGTGCTATTGCTGCCACAACCAGCTGACCCTAAAGCCAGTTTCATGCATGTGTGTTCGTGTGTCCTTAAACTGTTGTCAGCACGCGCATGAATGGTGTGTTTAATCTCTACGAACACAAGAATTACCCAGAGAACCGACAGACTGAGACAAACTGTCAAAGACAACATGAGAGTGAAATGGAAAAGGAAGACAAAGACAGCGAGGAAAGAAAGTATGGACGAGTGCGGAAGTAAGAAAGCAAGACGGGCAGAGAGAGGAGAGACGTCCCAGAACTCTGGCGTACATAGATATTATTCATTGAGAAGATATGAATACACCCTCAAGTGCAATGCTTTGAGCCACCTGAGAGTACACACACGTACTTATGAACACAGAAGCACACAGAAGTGCTGTACACACGCAAATAATGCGCAAGCACGAGTAGGAAGAAAAGCTGTTGAAGCACAGACATAAACTACACTCGCACACGCCTGCTGATAGTATACAACACATTCAGTACATGCACAGCCACGCACCAGGAGAGGGAGGAGGGAAAGAAGAAAACTGAAAAGAGGAGAAATGAAGTGAAGAGCAGAGCTGAAAGGGTTTCACCATGGAAGAGGAACAGCCCATGAGAGTTAGGTGAGGAATGCCAGGAGGGAAACTGAAGAGGAGGAGAGGATAACACATGAGTGAATATGGAATAAGGGAAAGGAGGGAAATAGAAAAGAAGAAGAAAAGAGAGGACGAAGGGAAAGAAAGAGGGAGAAACTGAGTAAGAAGATGGCTGATGGAGGAAAGCCACAAAAATGGACAGAAGAATTATTACAAAGGATGAAAACGAAGCATTCATTCATCCACCCAAAGATGGGTAGAATAAAAGGAGAAGGAGAAGAAAGCGGTGGGTATAGGAGGGACGGGCAGTCACAGATAACACACAGCACACAATGAAAGTGACAGCTTTGCTCCGAGCTTGACTCTGGCTGACTGTTGTTTCATTATAATCTCATAACTGTCAAATCCTGGAGCAATGGAGAGAGGGGAGAGAGAGGAACGAGGAGAGAGGGCAAAGCATGCTCATCGTGAGAGAAACACAGTGAGAAAATTGGAAATGAATCCATAAGTCTGGTTCAAGCGAGCTGAGCGCACACTGTGAGACACCAATGGAGACAAGGGTGAATGCACACAAATATACAAACATACATGCAGTTGTGACACACACACACTCAGCGGTTTTGCTTGTTGCTAGACTTCTTCACTTACTCACCGTTGCTCCTCTTTAATCGCAAGTTAGTTCATTTGTTAAAAACGCGCAAATTCATATTAATTCCTTTGTTCACTTGCACTTTTGCTCACACTCCAGCTCATTTACTCAGTGACTTATTTATTGACCCAATCGGCCTTTTTTAATGATTTTTCTTTTTAATCTTCAGTTTAAATTGAGTGTGACAGTAAATCCCCAGCCCCAGGGGCGGACTGAGATAACAATTCAGCCCAGGACCTCATCCTAGGACATTATGTCTATCCTACATTAAAAGAGCAGTTATTATGATCATATGTAAGTTAAGAACGTGATATTGGGTTTTAAATTTCAAATATTGTGAATTATGAGTTTTGTTGTTACAATATTAAACATGGCCAAAGTCATAAATACTGAGGTCAGTGTGTGTACAAGCTGAAGCTTCAGACTGCTCCAAATGCTCTGGCTCAGATCGTTTCTTCTAGTCTTGGACCTGTATGATGTCACTGAGAACAGATATCCTTAATATAGTTATCTCATGCCCACAGCTCTGACTATGAGTGACTCATTCACTCAGCCATGTTCATCCCTTCACCTCCTCCATCACTTATTTCTTGGTTGTTTGCTTTAATTTACTCATTCCTCTTACTTCCTTCTTTGCTCAATGGATCCCTCACTCGCTCATCCAAAATGACATCAAGTGGAATATGTATAAACCGTGATCATTGCTGGTATCAGAACAGTGTAAATAGGGTAGGAGGTCACACACAGTCCCCAGCCAGCGTTCATCTACTAATGTTTTGTGACAGAATACAAACACAGCACTATCCAGGTCCTTAAAACAACAATGCTGCACTCGTTTCTTTTCCTCTTCCCTTTCTTTGTGTTCAAAAGGCTTTGATCATTAACATCAGTATCTTTACTGCCTCCCTAAAAGGGCTTTATTCTTTTATCCCGAAGCTAAGAGAGAAATACACACAAACAATCAACAAAGTGTGGAAAAAATATCTTAAAATATTAATTTAAGAAAAATACAAAACAAAACAGGAATTCAGTTTAATCTCGTTCTTCAGCGCATCTCACGGCTGCGTGATGAACAAGTTATGCTGAGAAGCTGACGGAGGCTGATCCTGTGGCATATGTCATCAGGAGAGACAGCACATTTGCGAAGCAGTAAGACAATTTAATGGGATATCAGGGATATCTGACTCTTCCTGTCAGAGTCATGCACGCTCTCGATTCCCGGCTCGATAGATTTTTAATTGTGCAAAATTGCTATGGCAACTTGGACTGCACTTAGCCTGGATCCTGCCAATCAAACTGTGTTTGCAGTGCTGTGATATTGATCTCTGCTTATAACTACACGCAGTTCCCATTCTACCAAGAAAAATGCCTAAAACAAAACACCAGTTTTACGCCAAACGCTAACAACAGTCTGGAAAAATGGCAACCATGGTGACTGATACAAAAATTAGATATGACATCACATTAAAGATTATCCTCAGCAGCCCATCTTTGAAAGTTTTCACTGCTCAGTTGTGTTTTCGTTTCCACAGAAAGTCCCCATTACACAGAAAACATGTCTTTCTCACTACACTTTGAAAATGTGTTAGGCCAACATCAGTCTGTTATCTCGCATTCTTTCAGGTAAATCTAACCTGAATAACAGCTCGATTTCAATCAATATTTCTCTTTTATCTGTCTATACTACTCTTTTTTGGCTTTGTCTCCAGTAAATCATTGCGTCAGCATGGCATACAAGCACATGGGATGGGTTTCAGACTTAAAAATACTTTTTAAAACATGTATCTTTGATAAGGACAAAAGAAAGACACAAAAGGAAAAGGTAGAAGTAATGCAAAGAGCTCAGCCAAGTGGCATGCAGCCTTGTCATCCCACTTTCTCACTCACTTACAAACCTGTGGCGTTGGACTCCTTATCGTCACAATATTTTTTACACTGAATAAAGCTGCAGAGCAACCTAAACTGACTGCAAACACACACTCACACACATGCACCCTCCCTCCCTTCTCTCACTTTTTTCCCTTCATGGTCTCTTACCCGTGACGGAGATCAGCATGGGAGCCACCAGCGGCCTGTTGTTATCCAGTTTTCGGCTCAGTCGGATCTCTCCGCTGGTGTGATTCAGGAGCAGCAGGTGAAGCTCATTCCCCCTTTCGATGGTGTAGTACAGTCTGTCTGACACGTCAGGATCGTGGGCAGGTACCCTCCCTATTACCCCGGTGGGGAAACTGTTGGACCGATTGGACACAAAGTTGTTGAAAATGATTTGAAAGTCTTGTAGAGTTGGCCTGTTGTCGTTCTGGTCCACCAATCGGATTCGGACAGTAGCACGGCTGACTAAAGGTGCTGACGTGGCCTGGACCACAATGACATACTCGTTGCGCGTCTCATAGTCAAGATCAATGAGTGACGTGAGCTCTCCTGAAAAGATGTCCATCTGGAAGATCTCTGGGATGTTGCCCTCTACAATTTGGTACATGATCTGAGCATTGGCACCCTCATCAGGGTCGGTGGCTGTTATCTGTGCCACCACAGAACCCACAGCACTGTTTTCTTTTACTAAAACCTCAAAGTCATCAGCGGGGAAAACAGGGGCATTGTCATTCACATCGAGGACTGTCACCTGGATGTGGACAGGAGTTTGCTGAGAGGGTACACCGCGATCAACAGCATAAGCAGTGAGCTCATAGAATGGCACATTCTCGCGATCCAAACGTCTGCTATTTCGGACGATCCCAGATTTCGGTTCAATGGTAAAGTCTCCACCCCCATCCTCACCGTTTTGGAAGGTGTATTGAACACGACCGTTGGCGTGTGCATCCCGATCGGTGGCTGAGATTTGGAGAATACTGGTGTAGGAAGGGGCATCTTCACTCACTGTTCCCTGATACCTGGGACTGAGGAACTGAGGAGCGTTGTCATTGACATCATTAACATTCACCTCAACGTATGTCGTGTCGGATTTCTGCGGTATGCCGTTGTCTTTGGCTGTTATAGCCAACGTGTAGGTCATCTGGTCTTCATAGTCAAGCTCTGCCTGGAGCGTTATGGCTCCTGTTGCTGGGTCGATGCGAAATTGCGGGATATTGTCCTCGAGGAAGTACGTGATTCGAGCATTCTCGCCAACATCGTCGTCTGTGGCACTGATCACGACTATGGTGCTTCCAGGTGGCTGGTCCTCGTTCACACTAACAGAGTAATGGGCGCTTTGGAAAACAGGGCGGTGTGTGTTGGCGTCTGTGATGTTGACGTGCACCTGACAGGTGTCATGGAGGGTTCTGTCTGAGGCAGTGACAGTGAGAACGTAGCGCCGCTCTTGTTTGTAGTCCAGTGGGAGAGCTAGAGAGAGAAGCCCACCCCCTCCCGCCGTGCTGATAGCAAAGCGGTTTCTGGTGTTTCCTCCTGTTATCTGGTAGGTCACGGCACTGTTGACGTCACGATCGACAGCTGTGACAGTCACTACGCTGGTGCCAACCGCTGCGTCCTCGTTCAGTCTGACATAGTACTCCTTTTGGAGGAACTCAGGGCGGTTGTCATTAACATCCATCACTGTTATAGTCACACTGGCTGTAGCGGAAAGAGGGGGCATGCCATAATCCCTGGCCTCCACGCCAAAAAAGTAGTGCTCCACAGATTCTCTGTCAAGAATAGACTTTACGGTGACCCAGCCTGTTGCGGCATTGATAACAAATGGGGTGTCAGAGCTTGTGCCAGTTAGCCTGTACTCCAGACGAGCATTGTCACCAGAATCTGTATCAATGGCCTGGATGTGGAGGATTGAACTACCAATCGGGGCGCTCTCAAGCACTGATGCCTGAAATGGTGTGGAGACAAAGATGGGCGGATTGTCGTTGACGTCTGTCACTTGGACGCTGACAATCCCAGTGTTGTTAGAAAGAGGTGGCCGCCCGTTGTCCTGTGCGCGAACGCGGAGCGTGTACTCTCGTTCGGCCTCATAGTCTAGTGGTGCCACCACCTGGATCTCACCAGTGACGCTGTCAATGGAAAACTGCCCACGGCTGTTGCCACTGATGATGTTGTAGTGAACAACAGCATTACTATCTTTGTCCCGGTCTGTGGCACTGACACGGAGAATTTCAGAATGAGGCCTGACATTCTCCTTCACTGCCACCACATAGCGTTTCTCACTGAACTGTGGCACATTGTCATTTTCATCCAGCACGGTGATGAAAACTTTAACGGTAGCAGAGCGTGGCCCCGGATCTTTCCCCTGGTCGCTGGCTTCCACCTGCAGGGTGTAGTGTTCATTCGTTTCCCGGTCCACTGACCCACGGGTTGTAATGAGGCCAGAGCGAGGGTCAATCTCAAAGGCCGCCCGTGCCATTGTAGCTGAGTCACCAACAAACCGGTAACGAATATTGGCATTGGATGGGGAGTCTGAATCAGTCGCTCTCAGCTGTAGTATGGGATAGCCTTCCTCCACATTCTCCCTAATCGTCTCCCTGTACTCTGACTGCTCAAATATAGGAGAGTGATCATTCCGGTCTGAAACAGTGATGGACACCATTGTGGTGCCAGAGAGGCGAGGGGAGCCATGATCAGTCGCTGTGACCCGGAAGTAATGTAGGTCCATATGCTCTCGGTCAAGAATCTGAGTGGAGGTAATGAGGCCGGTGTCTGGGTGAATGTGGAAGTAGTCGGATGATCGACTGTTCATCAACGGAGCCATTGTGTAGCTCAGCCTGCCTGCATCTCCTCCATCTGGGTCTGAGGCGGACATGATGATCACTGATGTGCCAGGCGGCTGGTTTTCAGCCACATGTACTTGGTAGGTGTACTGGGAGAAATGGGGATGCCTATTGGCTGCACGTTTCGAGCGAGACCATGGCATGAAAATCTTTCTCTCAGTCTCTCCCTGTGAGGTATCATCATCTGCTACGATTATCAGTCGTTCCAGGCTCCTCTCTCCCCTTGAACTGTGCTTTTTCTTTTCCTTCCCCTCCACCTCCCCTCTGCCTCCTCCCTGGTGGCTTTCATCCCCCTGGCTTTCTTTCTTCCCTATTTTGCTATCTGGCTGTGTGATGGTGGTGCTACTGCCCCTGTCCTGACCCTTCTCTCCCTTTGCCTCATTCTCCTCTGCCTGGCTTGCCTTTGTTATTCTCCTTCCCCTCTCCCACTCCTCCTCCTCTGCCCCTGTTTCTCTCCCTCCCATCAGCCGCGCCTCTCTCTGGCCCTCCCCCACCTGTAATTTTCCTCCCCAAACAGAGGCAACAGCAACAGCGGACCCCTCAAAGCCCTCTTCCTCCCTCTGCCTTTCTCCTTTATCTCCCATCTGCCGCCCCGTTGCCTGTCTGACACCTTCGGGCTCTAGTGGCACTTGCTTACCGGGTTTTAATTGCATATGTGCACCGTCCTCGCGCGCGGTAGCTGAGCAGTCAGTGGAAATGCTACCAGAGCATCCTGGGTGAGCCATCGCTCTCTGCGCGCTTTCCCACTGCGTTTGACCAGGCCACAGCGAATTTTCTATTTCAGACTCATATCTATTTCCCCCGCCGCCTCTCTCCTCTTCCTCATTATTATTATTATTAT